TGTTCTCAGTAGTGACAGATGGCAGAATAAGGAGCAATGGTCTCAAGTTGTGGTGGGAGAGGTCCAGGTTGGATATTAGGAAAAATTATTTCACCAGGAGGGAGGTAAAGCACTGGAATGGGCTTGACAAAGCCCTGGCCGGGTTGATTTAGTTGGGATTGGTCCTGCCTAGAGCAGGAGGCTGGACTTGACGACCTTCTGAGGTCTCTTTCAGTTCTATGATTCTTATCATTCCTTCCCTTCCATTGCTTTCCCAAAAATTACACAAGAAGAAGAAATAAGGCAGTGTTAGAGTTTGTGGGAGTGATGTGAAGGATGGAACATTACAAATGTGCATATACCAAAGAGTTGCTCCATTTAGAAGCTTATGTTCTGCCCTTTGTGATCTTGGTTTTATAAAAGGTGGGTGTGGAGAAAATGTAATGCATAAATTAAGGATATTGTCTGAAATTGAATGAAAACAATTCAGAGTACCCTCTCCATCTAATATAAACTAGATTTTTTGTGATTTTCCCAATCACAATAGAATCTTCACCGTCATACTATTTCATACAGTTTAACCTATTTTTTTCATTTAGAATCAGGTAGTACATTTAAATAAGGGCCAAAGTCTGTGCTCCTCTATTGAGCAAAAAGCCCATGGGAGTTTTGCTTAAATAATGATGGCAGAATTTGGCTCTAGACATGAATATTTTCAAAAAAATCAACAATCAGCACCATATTTAAACCTAGATTGTCACTATCAAGGTCAACAAATTTAAAAATGCAGTCCTCTGTGGCAACATCAAATGTTCAATTTTCTGTTTGAAAAGAAAACATCTGGGCTGTGTCTACACTGGGCCACTTATTCCGGAAAATCAGCCTCTTTTCCGGAATAAGCTGCGAGCTGTCTACACTGGCCCTTGAATTTCCGGAAAAGCAACGATGCTCTACTGTACAAAATCAGCCGCTATTCCGGAAAAACTATTCTGCTCCCGCTCGGGCATAAGTCCTTATTCCAGAACACTGTTCCGGAAAAGGGCCAGTGTAGACAGCCCAGTAGTCTTTTCCGGAAAAAAGCCCCGATCGCGAAAATGGCCAGCCTGCCAATGTAGACGCTCCTTTTCCAGAAAAACTGAAAACGGAATAGTATTCCGTTTTAAGCATTTCCGGAAATTCATGCCAGTGTAGACACAGCCCTGCAGTATATGTATGCAGTGAAGTATTTGTACATAGCGCTCTATTAACGTGACATCTGCAAACAAACTCCAAACGAATATACAAGCTTCATGTGACCTGTTAGCAATGCATGCAATCTGAAAATTAAAATCTGTTAGTCTTCATTAAGGTGAGTTACACGTAGCATATTTGAAAGGAAATTACTCCAGTACTAACAGTATTGGTAACAGTATGTACACCAAAGATGGTTCTTATATTAAAATATATGTAGTACATTTTTATTCAAAAGGAGGAAATTACCTGATTCCAACACAGTGGATTGAGAAAGAACATTTATTGTTATATTATTTCAGTGAGTTTCTATTTCTATGTATTGAATAGAAGGTTAACATTTACCAACTTATTCAGCACATCAAAGTTCATAGGAGTTTTTGCAACAAGAGCAGGATTCTGCATACCATGAAGGACCCACATAGATTAATACCAAACTCTTTTATTTAGAAAAAGTTTTGAGCAAAGTTTAAAGATTAAAAATCAAACACCATATAGACGAGAAAGATACATTTTGCGTTCCCAGCAAAAATACACAAGAAAGCACTTCCTCTAGATACGCAGATTGAAATGTTTAGCAGAGTGAAATGTTTAGCTAGATTTTTGAAGATTATCTAGTTAGCCCTTAATTAGTTTCTAAGTGGAAATGGAACTATACAGCAAAGAGCAACTTGTTAGTTTATTTATTAAAGATAATTAAATGAAAACAAATTACCTTTTTTTTAAAGCACAGAATTGTGTCACTAAAATATACGCAGAAAATAATGGCTAGTTTCCTAAAGAAGCAAGTCGAGTAATCATTCTACGTTGCAGTCCAACTCGTGAAAGAGTGGGTTTATTTTATATATTTATAGCAACTGCGTGCGCTTCAAAACAGGAAAGGAAGTGAAGAGCAACTCGCCCAGAGCTGAAGTACAATTAAAATGTTGGTTTAACAAAAACTCATCCTAGCCTAGCGTCCTCTCTCCACTTCTGCGTGCAAGGGAAGGTAGCCCGAATCAGCCCCACGCCTTTGTGCCCTCTCTCGCCCCAGCCCCCGGACCCTGCGCCCAGGGTTTCCGAGCTCGAGTGGTGCACGGAAGCAGCCCCACAGGTGGCTGCTAGTGCTACTCACTAAGGGTTGCAGCTGCGCTGAGCGGGGCCCGGCACCTCCGCCGCTTGTCTCCTGGTCCCTTTGTTACCGCCCGGGATTCCTTGGTCAGCGAGCGGTGCTGGCCCGGGCCGCCAGCAGCTCATCCCCATCCCGGGGGAGGAGGCTGGGAGGGTGTTTTGCAAAAAGCGGCGGGGAGGCGCGAGGCCGGGGCGGGGTGGGGGGGGGC